GGTGGTTGGCAAGTTTTCCCCTTCTCCGGTTGCCTTCATATGTCTGCCTATACTTGTGTTTTGTATACATGTGTATTGGGGACCGATGTGAGTGCAGAAAACAATCATTCTAGTTTGCAAGGATAGCTTTCAAAACGATGGTTGCCAAGAGGGCCATCTATATGCACATGCATATAAATATAAATGTAGACCATTTACTACCTTTTCATACTTTGATGATACATGGATTACCTTAATCCTTTGCATATTTCAATTACCCTTTGCCCTACCAGCATAAAATGCTACCAAACTGAACCTCACCTAAATAAGAGGAAAAAACAATATGTCCAAATTCACATGGAGGTTGGTTAAACCCTAATTAATGACCATTAACAACTCAACCAATGTGTTAATTAAGTTAAGTCATCGTCAGTAGGTGTGTGTGTAACCTCCCATGTTGATGTTGTGAGGATTATGTTGTAGCTTTGTCAATCCAAGCTGCCCTTGCATCCCATCTCTTGCATACTGCTGCCACATGAACTGTTCTTCTACCAACAGCTTCTGCTTCTTCTCCAGGTCCGACATTTGCACGTAAGATGGGGGCGGCACCACCAACGAGGCAGCAAACGGGTCCACGTGTACGTTTGATTTACTAGACTCATGGTGATCTGATGATGATGGTGGTGCAGGTAATGCTAGCATTGCAGGCCGTCCTGCTGACCCCAATGCAACACTACTCGCACTCCCACTCACTCCAGATCCTGGGCCAGCCATCGCCGCTGATATCTCAGCTTGCTGGTACATTCCATCCAACAACAAAACGTCAAAGCCGCCTCCGAGGGACGCCTTCTGATGGGACAAGTGGCTGGCCGACTGGACCAACGCCGTCTCCCAATCAGCTTCATCAGCAAAGGCTTCCCATGCTGGAGGGCGTGTTTTTGCCTCTGCACTAGCGCCATTGAACAAAGCCAACGCCAATTTGTCAGCGTGCTCTTCGCTCGACACAGCGTCCTCTCCCAAGTTCAACAGGTCCCCTTCTTCTTGTTGCGGTTTCTTAGTTTCTTCTTCCTTTACCGGCTCTATTTCCTTGCTATTGCTTTCCTCAACAAAACTTTCAGGTGGTGGCAAGGCCCTCATGGCATTCATATCTTCTTCTTCTTCTTCTTCGTCCCGATTAGTTTCTTGATCTATCTCCTCAATCTTCTGTTGCTCCAGCAGCAGCACCTTGACCGACTTCCTGCCCTGCGCCAAGGCCGACTTGTCGCGTATGTACTCCTCCATCACCTCCAGTTTCTTGGGTGTAATCTTCTCAACCTCGGGGTACTCTGAGGAGCGAGCAATGCCAATGGTTTTGCACCAGCCGTAGAATGTGTCCAGCTCATCAAACTGCTTTCCGATGCGACAGAATATCTCGAACACCTTGGCACAGTCGTGGATCTCCAGCTCCATGAAGCGATCGATTAAGACGCCCATTATTTCTGTTATGTCATAATATATCTGGAAGCTTTCTTTCACTATTGGGAACAGAGCCACTATTACTACCCTGTTGGTCTTTGCTTCACCTGTTGTACGTACGTTCCAATTTGGATGCACATAAGAACAACAAAAATGTTAAAGAGTAATGCTCTCGGAAACAAGAAAAGAAGAGAGTAATTATAGAATAGAGTGATTGATTGGTATCGAGTATTAATCTACAGTACCTAATATTTGATGCCTTGTCAATATTTTATTGACATTACCTCTAATATCAAAAGACTATTGACAAAATATCAACAATGTACCAAGTACCAAAAATTGACTTACAATATTAATGTATTCCCTTCTAGACAAACTATGTATTTAATTGATAATATGATGTGGCAGATGATTTTCTTATAGAAATGATGTTGTCTCCTTAACATTATTGATTTGATTCAACAGATAATGCACGAGCGCAGCCATGCATGCATGGATGAAACGTTTGAATGCAGGTGCGTGCGTTATGGATATGGTAAATGGTAAATGGTAAATGGATTGGATGAAACCTGTTGGGCGACATGCTAAGAAGCGCTCAAGGAGCTGCTGCACATGCTGCATCCTAGAAAAAAGCTTCTCAGCTTTCATCTCATGCACAGGCGTAGCTCTGGGACATGACTGCTGGTTAACATAATTATGGGGCGGCTCCTGAGGATCCTCTTCTTCATCGATTCCGAAGGCGCTACGTTTCCCGCGCCGGCTTTGCATTCGGAACTCAAGCCGTTCGTCTAGATACAAGGCGTACGTGCGCACAAACGCAGAGTAGTCCCACGAATTGGACGTGGAAGCGTCCCGAAAATCGGACATGTTGAGGAAGCGAGTGCCGCGCCTTGTGGAGAAAAATATTTCCTGTTCATAAGCCGGGTCGCCCTCAGACAGCAGCCGTTGGACCAACATTAAGGTTTTGAGGGCAACGATCCAGTTCTTGGTCTTGTTGAGGCGCCTGGAGATGGTGTTGACGCAGGCGCTGATGTAGGCGCGCGAGTAGCATGTCAAGCTCAAAATCTCTCGTATGTATTTCTCCTCTGTCGGGTACTCTTCGTGCCTCGATGCTTTCACAATGGCCACGTCTAGGTCCGCCAGAGATGTGCTGCTACCAACTTTAGCTAGGCCTATACTCGTCTGGTCCTTCACCGCCCCCAAGGCTCTTCTAAACTTGCTCGAAGTCATGATTGACACCCAGCAGCAGCAAATGTTGGAATTAAAAGGGACCGCCTTAATAAAAATTTATTGTAACTTCACCTTTGTTTGTGATGTTAAGATGGAGGAAAACAAAGAAAGATTTGATAGTAAGAAAAGAAAAGAAGAGAAGAAAGACAGCTTCGCCTTTTTGCTTCTCTTCTCCTCTTTTTTTCGTTTTTTTTTTTTGTGTTTTTGTGTTTTTGTTTTCTTTGTTCTGCTCCTCTGCGATCCCTATTTCCTTCCTTGTTGCTGTAAACCTAAGGGTTTACACCTTTGAATGCAACCATGCGTTAGCGCGGCATTGTAGCCAAAAAATGTGCAAATTCGATGGGAGCAATGGAGCCACGTGTCACATGATGATTGCCTGTCTCAGGAATTCTTGTAATGCAGAAATTAACCCTTTGTTTTTTCTTTTTGTTGGGGGTTGGTCTCGGGAATTCTTAGCTTGTCTGTTTCTCATCACCCTTTGACCATTTCAACGCCGTTGGGGCCACGAAAATGATTGGTGTTGGGAAAGCAGCTGGATCCTCTAAATTTCTTCCCTCATTTTGTCTCATTTCCCCCAAATCTTCTCACTTCAACTTCAATTAAACAGATTCATTTCCTTATTGAGTTGTTGACTATGAGGTTGAATATCAGATATTTTTTAGGGAGATTCACTATTATAACCAATATAGGGGCCCAAATTATTATTATTTTAAAAAAAAAACTATATGAAATGAACTATAGAAACACACCCAAAGCCCATTTACAACATAACAAAGAGGCTTTTAACTTCTTATAAATTACAAAACTGCCATCAATTTCTTAAAACAAGCCCAACTCCAAAACCTCATAAAAATACCCAAAACACTCAATAGGGCATTAAAGTAATTTAATAATTAAAATTAAATTTAATAAGGCTAGCTATCATTTGTTGGGTTTTTTTGGATTTGTTCATAGAAATTAAATGGTGTAGAGTTATCTGTAGTATTAGTGCTAAGAAAGGGTATATGACTAAATATCTCTATTTTTTAATCAATAAGGGAAGAATTGAAAGTTCTTAGGAGCCTTTCAATCATTAACTATTGAATACGTATTGTTGTCGCACATTTATTAAACACATTATTGATCAAATCATATGTCATGATAAAACCTAGCTAAGTCTCATTTTGGTGAGAAATATGGATATATATGTAAAACATGCATGTAGCTTTTGTGTTTCCGCTCAATATATACTTCACTTTTGGAATAAACATCCAGGGAAGCTCCATGTATTGGATGGTGTGGATCGGAATTCTCAAAACTACTCATAACATATTTTGTTAGAGTACAACATATAAGTGAAACCCACTTGAATTTGTTCATAGGAAAATGCTAAGCTTACCACATTTTTCATACCACATTCATACCACCTCTCTAATAGAGGTGGGCCCCATTGTATTGGTGGGCTCCACCTCTATTAGAGATGTGGTATGAATGTGGTATGAAAAATATGGTAAGCCTAGCATTACCCTTGTTCATAACATTACTCTAGTAGTGAAATTGTACAGTTGGGATAAAGCTAATTCATAATAAGGGAGCACTTAGCTCTCTCTCTCTCTCTCTCTCTCTCTCTCTCTCTCTCTCTCTCTCAATAAAATCTTTTATACAACTACATTATTTGTATCTATATCAACTTTTCAATAGAAATTTAATGCATTATTTTTTCGTTGAGAAAACTAGTGATAGATAAGGTGATTACAATAAATTTGTAATCTTTATACACAATGTATGTCTCCATTTTGAGTTATTTATACTAACACCTCCTCAGGTTTTCGGATTTTTCACAAAACTCCTTAAGGTTTTAAATTATTTTCACAAAACTCATTTTCATTGATTTTTATCCAAAGATAGATGATTTTATACAAAAAAATTCTCCAAATGAAAAAGTTGGCCTTTGAGATTAGATTGTTATTTTTTTCATTTGCATAAGGTTTTTTTTTAATATATAAATGAAATCATAAATTTTTGTACAAACAATCAACGAAAATGAATTTTATGAAATCAAACTGAAACAAGACGTGTTTTTCTTCTTCTTTTTTAATTGGACATTGCGCTCGTCTCTTCCCTCTGCCACTTTCCCCTAAGCTTCCGTGCATTTTCCTGACCTTCAATCTTAGCAGTCCAGTAGATCGTGCAGCCAAAAAGATATTATATTTTCACTGTTCTCCCCACATGGGAACTCTTGCTTTTGTCGACTGAAACGTTTGAGGACCTTGACTACGCGTATTTCGAATTTATTCATCTGCAACACACAAACCACTGCCCAGAAAAAATAATTGATTATGAAATAACTTCTTCTGCTCAAGTCGGATCGGAAGGCCAACTTATGCATAATTTGTAGTTGGTCTGATCTGAACCAGTATCAATTAATGGATGCCAGGAAAGCCCATAAAGCCTCCCCTTCATCCTCACCATCTTCCTCGTCAAAACGTTGGAAGTACCAAGTGTTCTTGAGCTTCAGAGGTGAAGACACACGCAAGGGCTTCACAGGCCACCTCCACGCAGCATTATCTGATGCCGGAATCAGCGCCTTTCTTGACGACAACGACCTAGAAAGAGCGAAAATTATAAAAACCGAACTGGAGCAGGCAATCGAAGGGTCCATGATCTCCATAATTGTCTTCTCCAAGAGTTATGCCGATTCCAGTTGGTGTCTTGACGAGCTGGTGAAGATCATGGAGTGTAGAGAAAGATTGGGGCAACAGGTTATTCCATTGTTCTATAATGTTGAGGCTTCAGATGTCCGGAAACAAACTGGTAGTTTTGCACAAGCATTTGAGAAACATGAAGCGGGCAAACATGAGAAAGAAAAGGTACAGCGATGGAGAAATGCTCTCAGTCAAGCAGCAGATTTGTGTGGGGAAGATCTTAAAAATGCTGACAGTGGGTAATTACTAATTTCTTGTTCCTTGGATTATCATCTCCTTAAAAATGTTTTCTGTCCTTTTTGTTTTTGTTTTTCCAACTATGTTTTAACTATGGTTTGGTTTTAACTATCCATTCTTTCTTACTTGATAATGTAAGATCCATTTAACATTTGATGTTAAATCCCAATCTTAATTGTTAAAAAAAGAAAATAATTTGCTCATTTTAAATTATTAAGTTAGGGATTCAATTTAACCTTGTAGTTTGTTCCACATCGAATGATTCGTAGTTCTGCTTCTTTGTTTAATTGCCAGGCATGAAGCAAAGTTTATCAACAAAATTCTTGGGGAGGTTAATAAGCAGTTGTACAGCAAATATCAATTAGACATCGAACACCTTGTTGGAATTACTTCTCGGGTGAACGATGTTGTTCGCATGATTGGTATTTCGGGGATGGGCGGCATTGGGAAAACAACGCTTGCCAAAACCATTTATAACAAATTTGAACGTATCTTTGAAGGTAGGAGTTTCCTTGCAGACGTGAGGGCAGTAATTGCACACCAACCCATTAATGGTCTGGTTGGTTTGCAAGAACAACTTCTAAAAAATATCTTGAACGCATCTTTGAAGGTTGATTCTGTTGATGTAGGGATCACTGTGATACAAGAAAGACTTTGCTGTAAAAGAGTACTTGTTATAATTGACGATGCAGATGATCTACAGCAACTAAAAGCAATAGCTGGAGCTCGTGATTGGTTTGGTCCTGGAAGTAGAATTGTTATAACAACAAGAAATCAACATTTGCTAGACCAAGTTGGAGTGGATAGCACATATATGGCTCAAGAAATGGATGAGGAAGAAGCTCTAGAGCTCTTTAGTTGGCATGCCTTCAAAAGAGGTTATCCTGATCAAGAATACCTTGACCTCTCAAAACGTGTAATTCGTTACTGTCAAGGCTTGCCACTAGCACTTCGAGTTGTAGGGTCTTTTTTGATTAAAAGAACCGCATTAGAATGGGAAAGCCAATTGGAGAGATTGGAAAGAAGTCCTCATGAAGCAATTACAAAAATACTGAGAATAAGCTTTGACGGGCTACCTGACCATACAGACAGAAATACATTCCTTGATATATCTTGTTTCTTTATTGGAATGGACAAGGACTATGTCACACAAATATTAGATGGATGTGGCTTTTCTGCAACGCTAGGAATCCCTATCCTCATTGAACGATGTCTTGTAACCGTTAGTGAGCAAAACAAGCTGATGATGCATGATTTGCTTCGAGACATGGGAAGAGAGATCGTTCGTGACAAATCCCCCGGTCGTCCTGAAAAATTTAGTAGATTGTGGAAACGTGAAAACGTAACAGATGTATTGAGCGATGAATCTGTAAGTACTTTGCCAGTAAAGTTTTAGAATGCATCATGCAAGAGAATCATATGTATCCCATGTCTATAATAAATTAATATGTCCTTTGATTAGGCATAACCAACAAAAAATATGTGCTTTGATTGCAAACACAAACTATAGGGCGTAACATGGTCCAATACTATTAATTATACCTTTTGGTTAATACATACACGGATTTTTCATGTTTGTAAATCATTTTTCTAACTCGGTATCTTTTGTTAACAGGGAACTAGAAAAATTGAAGGAGTTGCTCTAGATTTGGATTTTGATGAAGATTCAGATCTAGATTCGGTTCTAGATTTGACTAGATTCAGTGCAGAAGCATTTACCAACATGAAAAAACTGAGGTTACTCCACCTCAGTAACGTAGAGCTCACTGGAGAGTACAAAGATTTTCCCAAAAAGTTAATATGGTTGTGCTGGCATAGATTCCCTTTAGAGTCCATACCAGATGACTTTCCTAATCAACCAAACCTAGTTGCTTTAGACCTGCAGCGTAGCAAACTCAAAATAGTTTGGAAGGATTGCAAGGTATAATAATCTCAACCTAGTTGTTGTTGGTTCTTTCCTTCTTGTTCTATACATATATTATACCTCACCTTCTCTTCATTTTGGTTTAATTTCTGTATCAAAGACCTTCCTTTTGGATTTTAATTCCCATTCTAATTTTGTTTTTGTGTAACAGTGGCATCAGAATTTGAAAATCCTTAATCTCAGCGATTCCTATGAGCTAACAAAATCACCAGACTTTTCAAAACTCCCAAATCTCGAGGAATTGATATTGCAATTCTGTTCGAGTTTGTCTGAGGTTCACTCATCCATCGGGGATCTTAGAAGACTTTCTTTGGTAAATCTTGAATACTGCGAAATGCTAAAGGATCTTCCACTGAATTTCTATAAATCCAAGTCTATTGAAACTCTTTTACTTAATGGTTGTTGGAGATTTGAAAAGTTGGCTGAGGGCTTAGGGGACATGGTATCATTGACAATTTTGGAAGCAGATAAGATAGCCATAAGACAAATACCATCTGATTCCATATTAAAATTGAAGAAACTGAAAGCTTTATCATTATGTTATGTGAAAGGGTCGCCATCAACAAATCTTTTGCCTCATTCAAGAGTTGCAGGCGGCAGTTTAACTGATGATGCATTCCCCAAGGATCTCGGTAGCCTAATTTTCTTAGAAAATTTAGATCTTGAAGGAAATGATTTTTGCAGCCTACCAAGCCTCAGTCGTCTTTCACAGCTTCAAGATTTGTCTTTAAATAGGTGCAAAAATCTTCGTGCAATCCCAGATTTACCAACCAATTTGAAAGTCTTACGAGCAGATGGCTGCATTGCATTGGAAAAAATGCCAGATTTTTCAGAAATGTCAAATATAAGAGAATTGTATCTAAGAGATTCGGGCAAACTCACTGAGATTCCAGGCCTGGATAAGTCATTAAACTCCATGACAAGGATTCATATGGAAGACTGCACTAAACTCACTGCCGATTTTAGGAAGAACATCCTACAGGTCAATCCTTCTCTCTCTCTCAAACACACACATACATGTTTCTCTTTCTATCACATACAACGCATGCATGCATAAGAATGTATTTCTTATAGAAATTTGGCTCAACATGGTATAGGGATGGACTTCTTGCGGATATGGTGGAATTTATCTCAGTGGAAATGATATTCCTGATTGGTTCCACTGTGTCCATGATGATGATATTGTGTATTTTACTGTGCCTCAAAGTGTTGGTCGTAATTTGAAAGGGTTAACTTTGTCCGTCTGTCTCTCTTCACGCTTATATGGTTGTTGTCGTATCAGCATTAAAAACATGACCCAGGGTACTGAGCTTGACGCTAGGATCACACCCAACATTTGGCCAATTGAGGGTTATTATCTTTGGCAGGGACAGTTATCAAATGACGAGCTCAAATTGCAAGACGGTGATAAAGTCTTGATTGAAATAATACCCGAATATGATTGGGCTAACGTGAAGAAAACAGGTGTTAGTCTGGTATGGGACAAATTTATGAACGAAAATATGATTGATTACCATCTTTGTGCGTATGAACGACGCCCATATCAAAATATGGTCAATAATGATGACATCATTCATGTCGAATATGATAATCACATAACAAAATCACCAGACTTTTCAAAATTCCCAAATCTCGAGAAGTTGATATTGAAAGGTTGTGTCAACTTGTCTAAGGTTCACTCATCCGTCGGGGATCTTGGAAGACTTTCTTTGGTAAATCTTCAAGGCTGCACCTGTCTAGGAGATCTCCCACTGAATTTTTATAAATCCAAGTCTATTGAAACTCTTATACTGAATGATTGTTCAAGTTTTCAGGACTTGGGTGATGGCTTAGGGGACATGGTATCATTGACAATTTTGGAAGCAGATAACACAGAGATCGGACATATTCCATCTTCCATAGTAAAATTGAAGAAGTTGAGAATTTTATCTCTATCTGGTGAGAATTTTGAAATTCCATCTTTTACCCCTTTCATTACATGGCTTAAACTCTTTAATAGAGTTATGTCTTGCAGGCTGCAGTTTAAGTGAGGATGCAATCCCGGAGGACCTCGGTAGCCTAATTTCCTTAGAAGATCTGCTTCTTGGAGGCAATGACTTTTGTAGCCTACCAAGTCTCGCTGGTCTTTCAAAGCTCAAGGTCTTGTGTTTAAATGCATGCAGAAGACTTCGTGCAATCCCAGATTTACCAACCAATTTGTATGTTCTGAAAGCAACTGGCTGCCCAAAATTGGAAACAATTTCAGATTTTTCAAAAATGTCGAATATGAGAGAATTGTATCTAAGTGATTCGTTCAAACTCACTGAGGTTCCAGGCTTGGATAAGTCATTAAACTCCATGACAAGGATTCATATGGAAGGCTGCACCAATCTGACTGCCGATTTTAGGAACAACATCCTACAGGTCTCTCTCTCTCTCTCTCCCCCTCTCTCTCTCTCCCTCTCTCACACACACACACACACAAACACAAAGGTACAGCTGCAGATGCAGCCCATATATATAATGATATATGCATGCATGTATAAGAATGTCTTGCTTCTGGTGTGCAGAGATGGACTTCTTGTGGATTTGGTGGAATTTATTTGAATGGAATTTATGATATTCCTCAGTGGTTCGAGTTGGACGATAATGTGTACAATATTGTCTTCTTTAAAGTTCCAAAAAGAATCATGGATCGTGATTTAAAAGGGTTGACTATATGCTTCGTTTACTCTTCAGACAGCCCAAAACTTGAAGATTCTCAAGGTCCTATTGGCATTATCGTTAGAAATCTTACCAAACAAACTGCTTTGCACACCAAGATAGCATTTGCCTCCTTAAAAACTTCCAGTAAACCTGAAGACGATTATCTTTGGCAGGGACAATTGTCAAACGATGTGCTCCGTTTGCAAGACGGCGACCAAGTCTCCATTCTTGTAGGGCCCCTAGTTGATTTTGTGAGAGTGAAGAAGACAGGGGTTCATCTAGAATGGGACAAAGTCATGAAGGAAAAGATGGATAATCCGGATCCTCGTTTGTATGATTTGGAAACAAAATTTTCAGGGGGAGTTGATGAAGCATTTTTCAGGGGCAGTGTTATACATGAACAATTAGCAGTGGAAAGATATTTGGATTTTTTTGGGGGAACTGATAATGAGGCAGGACGGAGCCATGACGTACGGCTGGATGATGGAGCAGGACAGAGCCATGACGAATTTGTTCGAACTAATCAATCGAGTGCTGTGGATGAACAATTAGCATTGGATTTGTTGTGTATTTCAAGAGATTGTTGTCATTGAGACGAATGGTAACCATACTGAGCAAGCCATCAATCTTGATGGAGGAAGAAGAAGCCATGATGAAGCAGAGAGAAATTGCAATCTTGATTTCTGTATTTCTTAATCTTTTAAGCTACAGCACTTGCCAAAGCTCCATCCCGTTTTCTGGGCTGTGGTTGTAACCGACTGTGTTTTGGTTCTGTGGCCAGAATCAGAGAAGTCCAGATGCAATCTTGAATTGAAACCTGAGGAAGAGACGGAGATGGAGATCGAGGCAGAGGCAGAAGGAAATAAATCATGCAGCAGAAAATAATTACAAATTTCAATAGGAAATCTACTTCAATGATTTGGTGATGAGATGACTCATAACTTGTTTTAATTTGTTGAAAATCTCATAACTGCAGTCACAATCGCTCTTCCTCTCGTCGCTTACCCAGGCTCGATCTTCAATGGAATCTCGTGGTCGTCGCTGTGACAAGTAAACCCTTTTACTCCTCTCCATATTCTAACTGGATGCTCTTGGTTATCACTCTGATTTGTGGCTCCTCACAGACGAAGACGACCGTCCACAATCGACAACCCCTAATCCCAACGAATCGGAACTCAAGCGACGAGCAAACCCGACCTTCCTGCATATGAAGAATCGGAATAATCGATCTCAGGCTTCAACGACGAGGTCAACGCGTTCCGCTTCTTTGAGGCGAAGTGCACCATCGACGATTGTAAATGCCCGCAGTCAAACTCGTGAAACAAGCGGCCCTCGAAACGGTGAAACCCAAACGAGGTCATCGCAGGAGAGTAGGGATCTCAATCCCCAATGTTTCAGCGACTGAGAATCTCACTTCTCAATCTCTTCTAGGAAGTGAGAGACGACGACGGCATACCTGGAACTAATTGCAATTGCTACAGGTATGCCTTATTAAAAGCCTTTTTAGCATTTGAAATTTGGTAGATAATCAGCCGTGTTGCTTTATATTATCATTTCCATCTCTGTCGACCAACAAAATGACGTATTTACGAGAGGGGTAGATGTTTGTCTGGTCTTAGCTTTCTCGAGAGCCACAACATCAATAGTTTACGAACATGTACTCAATTGAAAAAACAACTGACACATTAATCTGGGTGTTTTTGTGTAATAAGACATAATTATTAGTATTTAGTTGTGTTTTTGTTTCAAGCTTTCTATGACAGTTGATAAACTATTGACAGCAGTGACGGGTTGTTGATAAACTATTGATGGGTGACTGATACAATATTGGTGGACTATTGATAAATTATTGAGGGGTTATTGATATATTCATTATGTCGCTTTCTGTGCATATGTTGCTTTGTCTGCAGTGTTTGGAAACTAATACCAGTAATATGCTAAATCACAATGTAAATGATTCACTTCCTCCGATTATTACTTCAAATTTTCATAAATAGTAATTAAGACTTCTTAGTAAAAATAAAATAAAATTTAGGAAGATTTAGTTAGTAAAGTGATGTTGAAGCTGTAGTGATAGCGAATCCTTTTGAAGCGTTTACGAAACATATTTTTGTGCCAAACAAGGGATGTTGCAACATTGTGATTCTGAACACAAGGCAACCAAAGCTTTAAACAAGGGCCTGCACAAATTAAATGAACACAATAAAAATAAAACCAAGCTGCTAAAATTCCAATTTTGCAGCATCCCTCTGTAGAAAGGAAAAATCAAGAAAATATGTCCCGTATGCCCATATGGAAGCAATGAATGACACAAATGGACAAAATATTAACAATGTAATGAGTATAACTCGAAACAGGCCTTACCTGCAATGAACTCCACAACACTGTTGGTCCTCTATCCATATGCAAACTAGAAGAGAAACACGAATATATCACAAGGAAAATTAAAATTTCTTTTCTTTAAGAGAAGGAAAATTAAAATTTCTGAAGAGCCCCTTAAGGGACTTATTCCTGTTTATGCTAGGAACTCTAAACCTACTATTTGACAGTTGTAAAACTTTTTCCCCCGACTAACCGTTCAGTGAAGGGAAGGGCAAGGCAGGCAAAAAACCCCTCATGTCTACATCTATAATCCCAAATTTTCCACATACCCGCACACCCAATACCCATTTCGCCAAAATTAATGCCTTTGCATGAGATATATTCAGAATACCATATTTTTAAATGTTTAAATTAAGAAAAAGAAGGGGACTGTACCAGATTTCTTAACCAGAGCAAGGAAGGAAGGAGATAACCTCGTCAAGAGACAAGAACCAGAGAAAATAAAGAGAAGAGCTCACTTGTGTTAATCATGAGGAGACAAGAACCAAAACATAGTCTTAACTCTCATCAAAAAAAAAAAACATAGTCTTAATCATCAAACAAACACATAATAACATAGCCGAGTTGTTCAATCCATTCTATGCTTTTCTATAGCCCATAAATCAGAAATATTGGTACAAAGAGTAGACAACAAGCAGAGACATGGAATTTAAAAAATTAAAAAAACCGCAAGATCATATCCTAATACCCACAAACAAACACAATCAATCATATTCAACCCCAATATAAATCATGCCCACCCAAACAAAAAAATCTAGTTTTTTTTGCCTTTCTTCTAAATAAAACACCTCAAATCTACACATACAACCCCAAATTTTTCACATACCCGCACCGCACACCCAAAACCCATTTCCCGAAGGGAAAGCTAAATAAATCCAGATTGGTAGCCCATCATGATAGTTTTCACGAAAAAATTTCAGAAGAGGAGAAGAGTGATGCTTTGTATAGAAATGAAGGCAAGGAAGCCAGTCTATTGATCAGTCTCTGGATATGGGTAGATGGAAAAATAGATGAGAAAGGGATGTAGTTCCAATCAAAAAAGAAGAGAGGGATGTAGTTCATGGCGATTAAAAAGTCATCTGGAAAGGTAAAGCTGATTACTTTAAGTTTTTTAATATAATTTTGGGGCTAAAATATCAGCATTCAAGGGCAGAGACAACAATGCGGGAAAGAAACATTTTCCGAAAAAGTTTGGGAGGAGAGAGGAGAGAGAACAAATTGAGGGTCAGATTCTAGTACAACAGATTCACTTAGAATTGCTTTTTCTGAGCCTTTGGATTAAATCCAACAGTGTTCTCACATAGGGTTCTCGAAAACAAGTCCCCACCAGAGAATAGCCCATGCTGGTTAAGACAACACACTTGCAAAAACTCCAGTGTGGAGAGACGTCCATCCCGTTTTTTGGGCCGTTTTCTGGGCTGTGGTTTGGTAAAATGAACCAAATCTATTACAAAGTTACAAATTTTAGTAGGAAATCTACTTCAATGATTTGGTGATGAGATGACTCAAATGAGAGAGCCACGCAGAGACCACCACCTATCCCAAAGCCCCACATGTCACATTCTGGTGCACTCTTCACTTTTGTAGGTAGTAGACATGTGTCAACATAAGCAGCAACATACACTTCACACCTCCTTCACACATGAAACATCATAAACCACTCGTGCACAAAATAAAATACTCATGGATCGTAGAAAAAAAATTAGAGGTATATATATGAGATAGCACTTTACAAGGCCGAATAATACATGAGCTTCACGTTTAAGCCTAAACATAGATCCCAAAATATAGAAAAAATCATATGCAATCCAAATTCTATAAAACAGCCCAGTTGGACTATTCAATGGACTTACCAATACAAACAACCCTTGAAAATTGTACAATTTTAAAAATTGCCACTGCAATAATATTACTAGATACCCAAACACAATTTTTCACCAAAAAACCCAAAACCTGCCTAGCCCACTCTGTTACAAAGATACCCATTACAAAACCAACAAAAAAACATGATATCTTATGCTTTCGGCCCTTGATTAGAACCCTCTTTCTCTTGATATCCATCTTTCAGACAACTGCATTGTATATAGCCCTTTAACACACTGCATTATTTGTATCTATACCAACTTTTCAATAGAAATTTAATGCATTATTTTTTCGTTTAAAAAACTAGTGGTAGATAAGGTGATTACAATAAACCCATACAGCTACAGTAATATTAAATTTTACACACTGTATGTCTCCATTTTTCTTTTTACACACTGTATGTCTCCATTTTTCTTTAACTTGTAATATTAAATTTTAAACCCATACAGCTACAGTATGATGTTAAGGATATTCCTTTTTTTTTTTTGTAAATTAAAAAAAAATTACACACATACTTCATAATTCATTGTAATGACCAGAGCATTTTGATGAGAAGGTGGATGGTGAGGATGAAGAGGAGGCTTTATGGGCTTTCTTGGCATCCATTAATTGATACTTAGTTATATGTTATAAATTATTTTTGAAGAATGAACATAACTAAGTAATATGAGAAAAGATGTATACAACAAAGTAATTTTTTTATATTAAATATATCATCACGTGATATAATCAATTCACTTATATTATAAAACGTACATATAGTAACACTTTAAATAATAACATCCCTTAACAGTTTCGTAATACCACTCAATAATTTATTGTATATTACTGTAGAATTTTCTCTTTTCTTCCATTGTCCATGACATGTGTTAGAAGTTGACTTGAGCTTATGTTGCATAGAAATTTGGTGCACTTGAGATCTGGTAGTCCTCAGCCTTTGTTGGAATTTGGCATGCTCACGTGTCGAAATTATTGTGAGGTTGATGAATGTGGAGCCCAGTGAGCACTGTAATGTGTAAGTTTGCTGCAGAGAGGCATTGAGCTCGTCTCTTCCCTCTCTATTCATGCCTCTTTCCACTAAGCTTCCTTGCATTTTCCTGACCTTCAATCTTAGGCTTAGGCTTAGCGCGTCGATGGAACTGAACTCCCAATATATCTGCTCAGCTCAGCTCGTTCTTTCTTCTTCTTAATTTTTTTGCTTTCTAAGTGCAGGCAACCAGAGCTAATTCATGAAGGGGTTGCTGCTGTGTGAGTGGACTTGGGGAGGGCTAAAAATTTACTTTGGGCTTTAAAAAATTAAAAGCCCCCGGGCTGTAGCCCAGGTAACAGTACACCAAGGTCCGTGCCTGTGCTCAAGTCGGATCGGAAGGCCAACTTGTGCATAATTTGTAGTTGGTCTGATCTGAACCAGTATCAATTAAATGGATGCCAGGAAAGCCCATAAAGTCTCCTCTTCATCCTCACCATCCTCCTCATCAAAACGTTGGGAGTACCAAGTGTTCTTGAGCTTCAGAGGTGAAGACACACGCAAGGGCTTCACAGGCCACCTCCACGCAGCATTATCTGATGCCGGAATCAGCGCCTTTCTTGACGACAACCAGCTAGAAAAAGCGGAATTTATAAAACCCCAACTGGAGCAGGCAATCGACGGGTCCATGATCTCCATAATTGTCTTTTCCAAGAGGTATGCCGAGTCCAGTTGGTGTCTTAATGAGCTGGTGAAGATCATGGAGTGTAGAGAAAGATTGGGGCAACAGGTTATTCCATTGTTCTATAATGTTGAGGCTTCAGATGTCCGGAAACAAACTGGTAGTTTTGCACAAGCATTTGAGAAACATGAAGCGGGCATCTGTGAAGGTAAACATGAGAAAGAAAAGGTACAGCGGTGGAGAAATGCTCTCGCTCAAGCTGCAGATTTGTGTGGGGAAGATCTTCAAAATGCTGACAATGGGTAATTACTAATTTCTTGTTCCTTGGATTATCATCTCCTTACTTGACAACTATGTTTTCTGCCCTTTTTGTCTTTGTTTTTGTTTTTCCAACTATGTTTTCTTTTTGACTTTGAACTTTGGTGTTTGTTTGTTTGGTTTGGTTTGGTTTTAACTAAGCATTCTTTCTTATTTGATAATGTAAGATCCATTTAACATTTGATGTTAAATCCCAATCTTAATTGTTAATTATATCTTAGTATTAAAAAAGAAAATAATTTGCTAATTCTAAATTATTAAGTTAGGGATTAAATTTAACCTTGTAGTTTGTTCCACATCGAATGATTCGTAGTTCTGCTTCTTTGTTTAATTGCCAGGCATGAAGCAAAGTTTATCAACAAAATTCTTGGGGTGGTTAATAAGCAGTTGTACAGCAAATACCAATTCGACGTCGAACACCTTGTCGGAATTACTTCTCGGGTGAACAATGTTGTTCGCATGATTGATATTGAAAATTCAGGTTCTAAGGATGTTGTTCGCTTGATTGGTATTTGGGGGATGGGCGGCATTGGGAAAACAACGCTTGCTAAAGCCATTTATAACAAATTTGAAGGTAGCTTTGAAGGTAGGAGTTTCCTTGCAAACGTGAGGGAAGTAATTGCAAACCAACCCAATACTGGTCTGGTTGGTTTGCAAGAAAAACTTCTAAATGATATCTTGAAAAGCAAGGACCCCATAAAGGTTGATTCTGTTGATGTAGGGATCACTGTGATACAAGAAAGACTTCACTGTAAAAGAGCACTTGTCATAATTGACGATGTAGATGAAGTACAGAAGCTAAAAGCAATAGCTAGAAAACGTGATTGGTTTGGTCCTGGAAGTAGAATTATTATAACAACAAGAGATAAACATTTGCTAGAGCAAATTGGAGTGGATGGCACATATCACGCTGAACGAATGGATGAGGAAGAAGCTCTAGGGCTCTTTAGAAGGCATGCCTTCGAAAGTGGTCATCCTGATCAAGAATATCTTGACCTCTCAAAACGTGTAATTCGTTACTGTCAAGGCTTGCCACTAGCACTTGAAGTTGTTGGGTCTTTTCTGATTAAAAGGTCCATAGTGGAGTGGGAAAGCCATTTGGAGAAATTGGAAACAAGTCCTGATGGAGATATTCAAAAAATACTCAAAATAAGCTTTGACGGGCTACCTGATCCTAAAAAGAGAGAGATATTCCTTGATATATCTTGTTTCTTTATAGGAATGGACAAGGACTATGTCACACAAATATTAGATGGATGTGGTTTTTTTGCAACGATAGGAATCAGTGTCCTCATTGAACGGTGCCTTGTAACTGTTAGTGAGGAAAACAAGCTGATGATGCATGATTTGCTTCGAGACATGGGAAGAGAGATCGTTCGTGAAAATGCCCGCGATCAACCTGAAAAATTTAGTAGATTGTGGAAACGTGAAGACGTAATAGATGTATTGAGCGATGAATCTGTAAGTACTTTCCCAGTATAGTTTTAGAATGCATCATGCAAGAGAAGCATATCGTCTATAATAAATTAAAATGTCCGTTTCCATTTCTTTCTTTATTTTTGTTTAGTACAAGTGATAGTCTGAACCAAAGTAAAAGAAGGGGTTCTCACACATCCACACTACCAAGGTGCCACATGAATTTGAACCTGAGACCTTAGTCTGCAAGTTTAGACCATTTTTCACTTCGCTAGACCCCGTTGCCATTTCTTATATTATATCCATTAAGATCAAAGCTCAATTAGGCATAACCAACAAAAAATATGTGCTTTGATTGCAAACACAAACTATAGGGCGTAACATGGTCCGATACTATTAATTATACCTTTTGGTTAATACATACACGGATTTTCATGTTTGTAAATCATTTTTCTAAGTCGGTATCTTTTGTTAACAGGGAACTAAAAAAATTGAAGGAGTTGCTCTACATTGCTATCCCACGGCTAGATTCAGTGCACAAGCATTTACCAAGATGACAAAACTGAGGTTACTCGGCCTCAGCAACGTAGAGCTCACTGGAGAGTACAAAGATTTTCCCAAAAAGTTAATATGGTTGTCCTGGCATAGATTCCCTTTAGAGTCCATACCAGATGACTTTCCTATGCAACCAAAACTAGTTGCTTTAGACCTGCAATATAGCAGACTCAAAATAGTTTGGAAGGATTGCAAGGTATAATAATCTCAACCTTCTCTTCATTTTGGTTTAATTTCTGTATCAGAATTTGAATTTAATTTCCCTTCTAATTTTGTTTTTGTTTAACAGTTGCATCAGAATTTGAAAATCATTAATCTCGGTAATTCCCGTGGGCTAACAAAATCACCAGACTTTTCAAATCTCCCAAATCTCGAGGAATTGATATTGGAATTCTGTCTGAGTTTGTCTGAGGTTCACTCATCCATCGGGGATCTTGGAAGACTTTCTTTGGTAAATCTTGAATACTGCAGAACGCTAAAGGATCTCCCACTGAATTTCTATAAATCCAAGTCTATTGAAACTCTTCTACTTAATGGTTGTTCAAGTTTTGAAAAGTTGGCTGAGGGCTTAGGGGACATGGTATCATTGACAACTCTGAAAGCGGATTACACAGCCATGAGACAAATACCATCTTCCATATTTAAATTGAAGAAACTGAAAGTTTTATCATTATGTCCTGGGGAATGGTTGCCATCAAGAAGCTGGAGTTTTACTGATGATGCATTCCCCAAGGATCTCGGTAGCCTAATTTCCTTAGTACATTTAAATCTTGACTGCAATGACTATTGCAGCCTACCAAGCCTCAGTCGTCTTTCACAGCTTCAAGATTTGTCTTTAAATGAGTGCAAAAAACTTCGCGCAATCTCAGATTTGCGAACAAATTTGAAAGTCTTACGAGCAGATGGCTGCATTGCATTGGAAAAAATGCCAGATTTTTCAGAAATGTCAAATATAAGAGAATTGCATCTAAGTGATTCGGGCAAACTCACTAAGATTCCAGGCCTGGATAAGTCATTAAACTCCATGACAATGATTTCTATGGATGGCTGCACTAATCTCACTACCGATTTTAGGAAGAAAATCCTACGGGTCAGTCCTTCTCTCTCTCAAACACACACATACATCTTTCTCTTTCTGTCAGATACAACGCATATGTACACATGCATGCATAAGAATGTATTTCTTATAGAAATTTGGCTCTACATGGTATAGGGATGGACTTCTTGCGGATATGGTGGCATTTTTCTCAGTGGAAATGATATTCCTGATTGGTTCCATTATGTCCATGACGATGATATTGTGTATTTCACCGTGCCTCAAAGTGTTGGTCGTATTTTGAAAGGGTTAACTTTGTCCTTCGTTTACTCTTCATACGAATGCTACGGTATTTGCATTAGCATTAAAAACATGACCAAGGGTACTGAGCTTGACGCCAAGATCATACCCCGTGTAAGTTATGGTAATGGTGATTGTCTTTGGCAGGGACAGTTATCAAATGACGAGCTCAAATTGCAAGACGGTGATAAAGTCTTGATTGAAATAATAGACGAATATTATTCGGTTAAGGTGAAGAAAACTGGTGTTAGTCTGGTATGGGACAAATTTATGAATGAAAATATGATTGATTACCATCGTTGTGCGTATCAACGACGCCCATCTCAAAATCAGGTCAATGATGATGACATCATTCATGTCGAAGATGATAATCACATAAGAAAATCACCAGACTTTTCAAAATTCCCAAATCTCGAGAAGTTGATATTGAAAGGTTGTAAGCGCTTGTATAAGGTTCATTCATCCATTGGGCATCTTGGAAGACTTTCTTTGGTAAATCTTCAAGGCTGCTTCATGCTAGAGGATCTCCCACTGAATTTCTATAAATCCAAGTCTATTGAAACTCTTCTACTTAATGGTTGTCGGAGATTTCAAAAATTGGCTGATGGCTTAGGGGACATGGTATCATTGACAATTTTGGAAGCAGATAAGACAGGCATCAGACAAATTCCATCTTCCATAGTAAAATTGAAGAAGTTGAGAATTTTATCTCTATCTGGTGAGAATTTTGAAATTCCATCTTTTACCCCTTTCGTTACATGGCTTAAACTCTTTAATAGGGTTATTATGTCTTGCAGGCTGCATGTTAACTGAGGATGCAATCCCTAAGGATCTATGTGGCCTAATTTCCTTAGAAGATCTGCTTCTTGAAGGCAATGACTTTTGTAGCCTACCAAGTCTCGCTGGTCTTTCAAAGCTCAAGGTCTTGTGTTTAAATGCATGCAGAAGACTTCGTGCAATCCCAGATTTACCAACCAATTTGTATGTTCTGGAAGCCATTAGCTGCCTAGAATTGGAAACAATTCTAGATTTTTCAAAAATGTGGAATATGAGAGAATTATATCTAAGTGATTCGTTCAAACTCACTGAGGTTCCAGGCTTGGATAAGTCATTAAACTCCATGACAAGGATTCATATGGAACGTTGCACCAATCTGACTGCCGATTTTAGGAACAACATCCTACAGGTCTCTCTCTCTCTCTCTCTCTCTCACACACACACACAATCTGACTGCCCATGTAATGGTATATGCATGCATGTATAAGAATTTATTGCTTCTGGTGTGCAGAGATGGACTTCTTGCGGATTTGGTGGAATTTATTTGAATGGAATTTATGATATTCCTGAGTGGTTCAAATTCGTCAACGATGTGGACAATATCGTCTCCTTTGAAGTTCCTCAAAATATCATGGGTCGTGATTTAAAAGGGTTGACTATATGCTTCGTTTACTATTATCTTGTTTTTGGCCGAAAACTTGAAGATTCTGAAGGTCCTATTGACATTATCGTTAGAAATCTTACCAAACAAACTACTTTGCACGCCAAGATAGCATTTGCCAGATACGGAAGACCAGAACCCCCTTCGTTTTTGTCAAACGAACCTGAAGCTCTTTGGCAGGGACAATTGTCAAACGATGTGCTCTGTTTGCAAGGCGGGGACCAAGTCTCCATTCTTGTAAGGCCTCTAGTTGATTTTGTGATAGTGAAGAAGACAGGGGTTCATCTAGAATGGGACAAAGTCATGAAGGAAAATATGGATAATCCGGATCCTCATTTGTATGATTTGGAAACAAATCGGGATTTTTTGTCATTGTCTATCATGGAAAATCTGGATTTTTCTGGAGGAGCTGATGATGGGGCAGGACGGAGCCACGGCGCATTTGTCCGCACTAATCAATCGAGTGGTGTAGATAAACAATTAGAATGGGACAAAGTCATGAAGGAAAAAATGGATAATCCGGATCCTCATTTGTATGATTTGGAAACAAATCGGGATTTTTTGTCATTGTCTATAATGGAAAATCTGGATTTTTCTGGAGGAGCTGATGATGGGGCAGGACGGAGCCATGGTGGATCTAATCAACCGAGTGCTGTAGATAAACAATTAGAATGGGACGAAGTCATGAAGGAAAATATGGATCCTCATTTGTATGATTTGGAAACAAATCGGGATTTTTCAGGGGGAGTTGATAACGCATTTTTCAGGGGCAGTGTTATACATGAACAATTAGCAGTGGAACCATATCTGGATTTTTTTGGGGGAACTGATAATGAAGCAGGACGGAGCCATGACGCACGGCCAGATGATGGAGCAGGACGGAGCCAAGAGTAATTTGTTCGGACTAATCAATCGAGTGCTGTGGATGAACAATTAGCAATGGAGTTGATGACTCCATTTCAAGAAATGGGTTATGCTAGGGAGACCAACTTGGGAGACCAACTTGGGTACCAACTCTCTAATAGAGGTGGAGCCCACCAATACAATGGGTCCCACGCTCTATTAGAGAGTTGGTATCCCAAGTTGGTCTCCCTAGCATTTTCCTCAAGAAATTGTACCACACTGAGCAAGCCATCAATCTTGATGGAGGAAGAAGATTTGGTGATGAGATGACTCAAATGAGAGAGCCACGCAGAGACCACCACCTGTCCCAAGGCCCCACATGTCACATTCTGGTGCACTCTTCACTTTTGTAGGTAGCAGACACGTGTTAAGCAGCAACATACACTTCACACCTCCTTCACACAAAATAAAATACTCATGTATTGTAGAAAAGAATTAGAGCAAAAGGTTGTGCCGATATTCTACGATGTGGAGTATACGGATGTGATGTGAGGAGTCAGAGTGGTTATTTTGCAAAGGCATTTCAGGAGCATAGACGAAAGAAAAAAGCTAAAGAGTAATCTGACTGGTCCTTTTCGTTCTTTTTCTTTTTGTTTTTGCCGACTCTGTTTTGGTAATATTTTATGTTCTTTATGCGAAAATATATGGGAATTTACGTGTTTGTATTCTTCTACCCTTACGAGATATTTATATTATATGAGATAGCTCTTTACAAGGCCGAATAATACAGGGAGCTTCACATTTAAGCCCAAACATAGATCCCAAAATATATAAAAACCCTATGCAATCCAAATTCTATAAAACAGCCCAATATTCAATAGACTTACCAATACAAACAACCTTTGAAAATTGTACAACTTATAAAACTGCCACTGCAATAATATTACTAGATACCCAAACACAATTTTTCAAAAAACCCAAAACCTGCCCAGCCCTCTTTGTTAAAAAAATACGCATTACAAAACCGACAAAAAAACATGATATCTTATGCTTTTGGCCCTTGATTAGAACCCTCTTTCTCTTGATATCCATCTTTCATACAAGTACATTATATATAGTCCTTTGACACACTGCATTATTTGTGTATATATTAATTTTTCAACAGAAATTTAATGCATTATTTTTTCGTTTAGAAAACTAGTGGTAGATAAGGTGATTACAATAAATTTGTAATATTTTTACACACTGTATGTCTCCATTTTCTTTAACTTGTAATATTAAATTTTAAACCCATACAGCTACAGTATGATGTTAAGGATATTCCTTTTTTAAAATAAAAAAAATTACACACATACTTCACAGGGGTACCCCACAATTCATTGTAATAACTAGAACATTTTATTATTATTTTTATTAAGTAGAAACTTCATTAGTTTTTATTAAGTAGAAATTTCATTAAATAAACTTCAACGATATAATCAAAGATATCTAAAATGCCAATTCCAAGAGGTCAACAAACTAACATGCTAAAAGTAAAACTTCTTTTCCATTACTATAGTATGCAATCAGAATGGAGCATGGGAATGCTAGCTAGCATCACGTATGAGTCATGCTGCCCTAAGCGGCCACCCAAAAATACCAATTGTGGCTTGGCATTGTGCAAAATATTACACTCGAATGCCATAAAAGTAGAAAAAGGAAAAAGAAGAGTTTTTGAGGTATGCTCAATGTCTCTTAGCTGCAAACTTACACATTACAGTGCTCACTGGGCTCCACATTTATCCCTCACGTTTATCCTCCTCACAATAATTTCTACACGTGAGCATCCCAAGTTCCAACCAAGGCTGAGGACCAAGTCTACAAGATCTCAAGTGCACCAAATTTCTATGCAATATAAGCTCAAGTCAACTTCTAACACCTGTCATGGACAATGGAAGAAAAGAGAAAATTCTACATTAATATACAAGAAATTATTGAGTGGTATTATGAAACTATTAAGGGATGTTATTATTTGAAGTGTTACAGTATATATGTGTTATAATATAAGTGAATTGGTTATATCACGTGATGATATACTTAATATAAAAATTACTTAGTTGTATACATCTTTTGTCATATAACACATAACTAAATTATTTTTGAAGAATGAACATAACTATCAAATTTTTTTTTAATCAATAAGGGAAGAATTGAAAGTTCTTAGGAGCCTCTCAATCAATAATTATTGAATACCTATTGTTGTCCCATATTTATTAAATACATTATTGATCAAATCATTCTTCAGGATAAAACCTTGCTAACACTCATTTTGGTGAGAAATATGGATATATATGTAAAATATGCATGTAGCTTTTGTGTTTCCACTCAATATATACGTTACTTTTGGATAAACATCCAGAAAAGCTCCAGGTATTGGATGGTGTGGATCGGAATTCTCAAAACTATACTCATAACATATTTTGTTAGAGTACAACATATAAGTGAAACCCACTTGAATTTATTCATAACATTAATCCAACAATGAAATTGTACAATTGGGATAAAGCTAATTCATAATAAGGGAGCACTTAGCTCTCTCTCTCTCTCTCTCCCTCTCTCCATGCTAATTAATTTGGCAAACTTATTTCATCAAGGTCATCCAAAGATAAGAACACCTCGTCCAAGCATGAAAGCTCTGTCCCATCATCGTTGTCGTCATCTTCATCACGCTCGTAGACTCGACAGAGAACATATCCACTAAATTCCTGAGAAAATTTGTAAACCAAAATATCAATAAAACTCCATTTATTTTATGTCATGCACATTCTCCTTTCTTTTTTATTTTTTGTTTTTGGCATGCATATGTAAGAAAAATGCCATATCTACGCAATTATTTTAGTTGATGACGTGATAAATAAAGTACATGACTTGCCACGCATGCTACCATGTCATAGAGTGAAATGACTATTTAAATCAAATAAATAATTAATAACGTAATTATAAGTAGTGATTGAGACATGCATTATTAACTGTTTTGAGATGCCCTCTTCTTTTGGATGATGATCTTGTTGTGGTGGAAGAAGAAGAAGAAGAAGAAGCTCCATCTCCTGCTGAGAGTGGAGAGAGACGATACTCATGCATTATCCAATTAGTTTTGATGCCTGAATTTGGAGCTTCTCCTACGTAAAATGCCAAATATCTTTTCATCCCAACTTTGTGTGTAGAATTACAAGAGCTTCTTGTGATCACTGGTTCCTCAACGCCTAATGCCTTCCAATACCCATTGCTTGTAACCCGATTCTGCGTCCTCCTGCTGTAAAAGTACCACTTATTTCCCTCACCTAGAGCCTTACCTATACATTTATATATGCACACAGTGCACAGATCAAGATACTTATATACGCGAAAACATGCTCTCTTATCATACAATTTGGCTAGGCTGTCAGATTTAATCCGTACACCATTTGCCATGTGAAACTTTACTTTAATATGTGTATGTACGTACTAGTATTAGTGTGTCAATTACTCATTTCAGCTATACATAAGTGCACAAGTGCTTATCTAAGGAAATAGGATATACATAAAAGGGTGGCAATTAAATATCAAACATCATGAAATTAATACACAAGTTAATTAAATTAAGGCAAGGTCAAGAGATTTTTTAGTAGTATTAATATAGTAGTGAAGGACTATATGGTAGGTGCATACCATCTAGTTCCCATGGATCATATTGGTAGAGATGGAGATCGGGAATGACGTCGGGATGGAAAGGTAAGAGAGCTGCCTTACGTTGAAGGAAATGAACTACAAGCTCTTCGTCCGTCGGGTCAAATCGAAAACCAGGAGGGAGCTTAAACTGGTCATCTCCCATTACGATCGACCCAAGATCATAAAAACAAACAACAAAAACTAACAAATAATATAAATAAATAAAAATAAAACAACAAGAACAAAGAAGAAGAAGAAGAAGAAGAAGAAAGAAGAACGTAGTAGGAGAGTATATAGGTAGGCTTTGGATGATTCGCGTGTAAACGAAGTTTTAGCCGAATGTGATACTTATAGCTAAGCGATAAAGCAGAGAGAGAGAAAAGGAAAAGATAAATAGTTTAGAAAAAGAAAAAAGTGAGTGAGTGAGTGACGTGAAAAAGAAGGTGGGTTTTCTTCAGAAATGTGGAGTTGATGGTTTAATTGATGATAAAGTGCTTTCCATATCCAAGGCGGCGGCCAAAGGACCTATTTATGCACGGCGGAGCTAGAAATTTTCGCTCTGTGTCTGTATATATGAATGGCTGAATGACTTTGTATAGGGGAGATGTTCGAGTGTAGATAATCAATTATTACAAGGCTGGGGTTGCCAAATTTTCACTTGGTAACATCGATTTCTTTACAAAATTAGCACCAAAATTGTTAAAGTTCTATCCCATCCCAGTCTAAGTGTGGTTCTGCCCTTGTGTTTATGTATCACTCGAAAAACAATTTAAAACATATAAAATAAAGAGGAGACTTGTTTGTACCGTAAGCAGCTGCAAGCCTGCAATAAGAGTGAGTGGCTGTGCCACATTCATCCAATTGTGTATTTATTCTATTGGATTTTTGCATTTTGGTTTTTTTTTTTTTTTTTTTTTTAAATTTTTAAATATAGGTGTACTTCATCATCCCACTTCATGCTGATCTCATGCACCTCTTCTCATCCACGTAGCACACATTTATATGGGTTTGGTCGTGGACCAATTTGAGGTTGGATATGGCCCACATTCCTTTTGGAGTGTGCCCAAACACCAATAATGATTTTGGTTTCATAATTATTGTAATCTTTAGCTAACTTCTGGCTTTGCTTCTCTTTTAGAATACTAGTCACCAATAATTTAATACGGCAATCGAGATCATCTCGCACTCACATAAAAACAACAATTAACGTTCATGTTCTGGTAATTGCTGACTGCTACTTCCACTTACTATACTTCTTTTAGGGCAATTTGACAACACTTCACTCTCTAACCCTCAAATTACAAACACAAAGCCAAACAAAATCCCTATTCACCTACAAATCTCTCAGCCTTAAGAGTCAACGC